AATAATAGAATCTAGTGAAATGAGGGGAAGGGCAGACGCAAAAAAAAATTGGCCCTATAAGGAAGAAGCACATTGAGAAGCCACAGAATGCTGAATGCCAAGTTGCAGAAGGAGGGGATGAAATCAGAAGGGACAGAATGCAATAGTCTTGAGCTCCTATTGAATATGTGAATATTTGAATACTTTGCCTCTAAACTTCATTAGTACCTAGCAAAATGCTTACCATATTTGGGAGACTTTCCATACGCTTTACTCCCCAGATGAAACTAGTTTTAAACGGATGAAATCAGAAGGGACAGAATGCAATAGTCTTGAGCTCCTATTGAATATGTGAATATTTGAATACTTTGCCTCTAAACTTCATTAGTACCTAGCAAAATGCTTTCCATATTTGGGAGACTTTCCATCCGTTTTACTCCCCAAATGAAACAGGTTTTAAACTGATTATAGATTCTGGTTATACATTACTAGTTTAGACAATGTGCTTTCATTGACTGCATTCACACCACAAAGTTACTGGACAAAAAAAGAAAAAAAAAGGAAAATAAAATAATTTTTGAAGGGTGGTGTGAGGAGGTCACTGTTGGCACCCTGAGACAACAGATGCCTGCAAGGAAGCTGGTTGAAGAGGACCACCTGTGAGGGGCAGAGGGCAAGGTGGAGGCCAGGATAGAGTCTGGAAGGAAGACTCAGGGGCTTCCTTCATGGAAACTGAGGAAAAGATGGAAACTTCAGAGGAAGAGAAGATGTGGGGAGAAGCCATCAAGGCTTGAGATCCCCAATTCTGTACCTTGCTGAGGTGGAGCATGGAGCGTCAGGCTAAAGTCCCCACACCCCATCTACTGGGTAGAGGAAGGGGCTGTGGACAAGCAACCCTGAGGCCAGGACTCTAGGAGTGTACCATATCTATGGCACAACTTTGGTGTCTGAGTCATCTGACAGGAGCAGCAGCACCCACCCTGACTCTGCTGCAATGCTGGTGACAAAAGTGCCAACACAAAAGGCAGAGGAGTCTCTGGGAGAAATAGTGGAGCAGGCATCAAAAATCCCCACTTGTCTCTACTGGCCATTTTGGTGTTAACCAGGGCCAAGACTCATCCACCTCTCTTGCTTTCAGGGACCAGAACTCACAGGACACCCTGTGGATTTAATAGGGAACCCTCTTGAAAGGACATTACCTTGGTGGTGGGAGTTAGTGCCAGGAACTCAATCCTGGAGGGAGTTAAGGACAGGGTTCCTGTTTCTATCACTTCCTTGGTTGCAATAAAGTATCTTCTTGGTCATTCTTATAACCTGGAGCCTATGGAATTATTTTCGGGAAACCCGGCAGCCACCGGCACCACCGGAAGTGAGTCTGATGCTGCTCACACATGGGATATAAATTCTTTAATAGATAAATAAGTAAACAAACTGGAAACGTTATTTCTACATACAGCTGGAACCTGATATGTGAACATTTGCCGTTAACTAATTCATAGTAGGCATGCACAACCTATGAGAAGTGTGATTCATGTTCTGCAGAAAGAAAGAAAATGCCTATAAAACCACAGCTGCCAACTTCTGTAAGAACCACTCACATATAGAAGGTTGATTGACAACCCCTTTAGCTGACCGCAAACGGAGGTAAGTGAATACAAAGCATATAATGTCCTTGAGATTTGTAGGTGATGCATGAAGTGACTGACCTGATGTATATCAGATTCAGAGTCAAAGCTCAGCCAGAGACCCCTGAACTGAACTTGAAGCTTGCTCCACCTAATATTACTGTCGTCAAAATAAAGGGAAGGGGCCATTAATGGCAGCTAAGAGACCATCTAGTCTGCAAGTCCATAACAAGCTATTTCAGAAATAAACTAGTCCACTGTGGGAAATGGCATTATAGTCACACATTTTAATTTGAGAGTATAAGGTAATGGGATACTAACAAAAAGGAATTCATCCAGCAAAAAATGAGTATTGGTCTCCTTTCTTAAATGCAATGAAAGGTTTTTTCAAAGCCCAGAGATATGGAGCTCCTGGCAAAGCAGCTAGTGAAGGCTGAGTTTATTTTCTGATTAAGGGAGGTTATCTTTACTTCCAGGGATCTCAATCCTGCCTTTGGGGCAGTTCATAGAAGACTGAGGGAAGTTATGATAGTATTTTTCAAATACTTGACAGGTAGTCATACAGAGAAGGGGCAGGATCTGTTTTGACTATCCCAGAGTGAAGGACACGTAATAATGGGCTCAAGCTACAGGGAGTCAGATTTTGGTTGAATATCAGGAAAAACTTAATAACTGTTAGAGCAGTATGACAACAGAACTAATTACCTCAGGAGGTGATCAGCACTCCAACATGGAGATGTTCAAGGGAAAACTGGAAAACCATCTGTCAGGTCTGCTTTGATTTGGACTCCTGCACTGAGCAGGGAATTGGACTCAATGGCCTTATAGGCCCTTTCCCATTCCATTATTCAATGATTCTATGACTCTGGGCAATATGCTTGTCAACCATTTTACAATCATACAGAAAACAGAAGACTAGAAGGATGTCTGAGTACCTAGTGATATTCATTAAATGTGCATGATCCTAAATAGTACTCAGGTTTTAACAGAGCTGATCCCAGGCCAATGTGGTGGAGAGAGGGTTGTTTTGAGTTGATGACAATGCAGTGAGAGAAGATGGGTGCCTCTCAGAAGAAGTGATCAAACTGTCTCGCCCACAGAATTTTACAGGAGGCCCAAACACAACACCTTCCATTTGTAGTCCTCCTATGCTTATCCCACCAGGTCTTCTTCCCATACCCATAAAAATTTGTTATGTTGGGGGGGGGGGGAGCATTCTGCGGCACATTGTTTTTG